TGGCAATAAGCAGGACGCACTGCAAGATTGTTTGACCAAGGCTGCGTCAGAACAGGTTCCATCTGGCAGTAAGTGGCTCATACAAAGGCCTCTAGATCGATGGCAAGATGGGCTAAAGAATTTAGTTGCAGCCAAAATGAAAAACAAAATCGTAGAAAACAGCATTTTGTAGTGAAACCGTAGACAGGACTTTATCCTGCAGTGGATCGGGAAAGGCTGATGACGCCAAGCAACATATGGATAATACAGACATATCCTTCATCCGCTTTTACAGATTTAACAGCCTGTCATCCTGTGAGCTCGAACCAGGCGAGAAAAGTTAATCATCTGAAAGGCATGAACTAAACCGTGCTGAAAATAGTGGCATTTCGTTTTACTACATCAGTTGCGTCAAAACTTCAACTCATGTTCTACGCAGACATTGCCTTGTATGGTTTTTTTGCTGCCGTACCTTTGTTTGTTCATACCAGAATGAAAGACAAACATTCTGCATTATCTCATGTACATTAGTCAGATAGGGAGCACTAGACAATGCACTTGGTCTGCAACCTCATAAGGATATGGGCATAAACCTCATACGTTTAACGTGATGTGGATCCATACGAGATGGAGAAAACCAACTTTTTAACTCGTCCGTATTTCTGTTGTTCTGCAACATTGATCGTAGTGTCAGTTTAGCAGTAATAGTGACGAATCTTCGGTGGCAGCCCGTTACCCCTAACGTGCCGGCAGCCGGTCAAAGAGAAATGTTGAAAAATTGCATTGCAATGCAGTCATCAGTAATAAATGGGCGAATGTACTTTATCTATTTTAAATGATGGAGTTTATGTAGACAAAGTTTCTTTTCTGATTTCGATCACACCAAAAGTCAGGTTCAAGCCGCTTTACTGCGTAAATCCCTGTTGTTGATTTAATACAGAAATTTTATTCTTACCTGGTTGTATCTGCTGAGATTTGAGTATAGTGGGCTGGCAGTACTTGTACTGTTTCTGTGCGCACATTTTTCTTATCTCAGTTATTAACTTTGCCGGCAATGGCTGAAAGGTGAACAACGACGCATCTGGAGGCTGAGTGAATTATTCTACGTTTAGATTTGAGTGCAAAGTCGATAACCACATACCTTTTGCGTCATAATTCTGTTTCCATTCGGTAGTCACAATTAAGCGACCTTTCTTCGAGTGCTTCCATTGATACAACAATCGACGTACGGATAGACTCGTATGTCTGCCAACGACTAGCACAGTTCAGCGATCGGTTGTCGAGATATTACTGACGACCGACGCGTCACGTCCTCCGCATCTCCAAAACACCCTCGTTTCATTCTTAGTCATCTTCACCGTCTGTGGCTTCCTTATATCCTTTCATTTTCTTTCGAATGCAAGAAACTTCCAACACATCCTCATTCTCGTTTCACTTCCGTTTTCGTACTACAGGGTAGACTGAAGGCGCCATCTCTGTAATAAGTGCTTCCGTTTCATGAATTACCTCTGTCGTTGGTGATAGTTCTTACGAAGCCACGCCTTCAACCTGGCAGCATTCTCTTTCGTGCGAAATGTTAGTGCTTTCGAGCCGTCGGCGGATCAGCTAGGAACGAAGACGTAGTCGAATCGAATTTTAGAAAAAATGGCTGTAAACCGAGAATGTGATAATTGACTGGAGCATGTCTTGGTTGCGAAACGTGATATTTATTTTTAGGGGAAAGCTTCAGCGATGCCGACTCCGGAATATCGCCAGACGGCGAGTCGGAAGGTCAAGTTTCAACCTGTGCTGACTCGTTCGGGTGCCAGACAGCCTCGGCTTCTGCAACGACGATCGTCCTGAAGTCCGCCGTCGGTAGGAAGCAGAATAATTGGATCTACCGTCGAAACTCGTAAGTGATCACCTCCATCAGCACTCACCTTGGCGTCAACTGCACCTTCACTTCAGTTACGCGACTGCCGTTGATAAGGAAGGAGTTCAGTCAGGAACGCACGACGACAGATCGACTGGAAGATCTGCCGCTGATGCTGGACAACGACGAGAACGCGCGGTGCCGCAGAACATGACGAAGGAGTCACAGGCGGCCAGGCAGCCGCTACCGTCGTACGAAAGCGCGCTGCGAGCCCTAGGAGTTCACGACCACGATAACTGGCTACCCAAAAGACAGAAAGGGCCCCCTTCTATCACCACGTTCGATGGCCGCTCCGCAGACAGTATTGGCACAAGTCTGACCACCTTCAGCAGCATCCTGTCCGTCGAGAAACTGTTCAAAAACGAGGACGACGATACGGTTTATGCGAAACCGTGCAAACTCAAAAATGATGCTCAGGAGCTGTCGCTGATCGGCGACTTCACGAACGTTCGTCAGTACAGGTATCACGTGAATACAGCCGAGGCTCGAGTGTGGCTTGTGAGTGTGACTTAAAACATTACAGCCACGCGTGCTTTAGGACATGTGTCAAGGGCCGTGTCGTTGGCCTAGGTAGTGACGGAAGTTACACTGTGGAACTGAGAAGATACGGAAACGAACCGTTCGGCTTTTACATTTCTTCAGCTACTTACAAACGTCGCAAAGGTATGAATGTGTGATACACTCGGTCGGATGGACGATGCCCGCCCTAACAAATGCTATGTACGCTAATCGCCGAGTTGTAGGTTTTCATATCGCGGACGTGTGCGAACAGAACCTGCGTGTCCTGCTGCGGAAAGGTGACAAACTTCTTGAGGTTAACTCTGTGTCGGTCAAGGGCAAGAAGCTCCAGGAAGTTGAACAGTTGTTGGCCAGTCGGGAACGGGTGATGATCCGCATTTTGCCCATGCACC